GCGAGTGCCCACAGCCCCGCTATCAGCGTCTGGCCCCGGGGCTCTCTTGCTCCTGCCCGGCCTGTGCTCAGTGACCCAGCTTTCCTAACCCATCCCTAGGTCACATGTTGGATCTTCTGAAGACCCGGGGGAAGAACGGGGCCCTGGCCTTCCTGGAAAGCCTGAAACCCTGGAGCCTTCCATTGACCTCAGCAGCTTCAGCGGTGAGCTGGGCCCTGGGAGCCGGGCGCGTGCGTGGCCATGCAGGAGAGAATCCAGCACTGCCCGACTGGGGGGGGTTTCCTCCTGGTGGTGCCCATTGGCACACACCTCGGTGCACATAAAATTATTCCGCACATGGAATAGATTAGAGGAAGCGTTACTGGTACGTCTCCCCCCATTGCCAGAGCCGTCTCTGAGCCAGGCCTGCTGCACGGGGAGACCCCAGCCACAGGCCCTCCCTGGAAGACGGCATGAGCATGTTTCCTACCTTGCTAGTAGCCTTTATTCTACTGCCTGGTGTGTGGACGGGAGCTGGCCCCTTTCCACAGTGCGTTGCTGTCGTAACCGTGGTCTTGCTTGGACATCGGCTGCAATATGCCCCAGGGAGGGGGAAGATGGGAGAGGAACTGTAACCTGGGCCATAAAATACTCCTGCTACTGGCAGAACGGCCCGGCCCCGGTCCGCAGATCAGGGCAGAGCCGAGGGGAGCAGTGGGCTTGTCTGGGACAGGCACTGTCATTTCATTACACGCACGCCCAGCGCCCTGCATGACAGCCAGCAAGCCTTGACTGAGGCCTATAGGCTGTACCATGGCAAAACTCCCTTATACCAGCATTCTACGTTTCATTTCACACCCTGAAGTTAACAGGCAGCAGGTTTAAAACAACCCAAAGGAAGTTTTTTTTCACACAACACAGTCAACCTGTGGAACTCCTCGCCAGAGGACGCTGTGGAGACCAGGACTTTAACAGGGTTCCAATAAGAGCTAGATAAATTCATGGAAGTTGGGTCCATCAACGGCTACTAGCCAGGCTGGGCAGGGATGATGTCCCTAGTCTCTGCTTGTCAGAGGCTGGGAATGGGTGACAGGAGAGGGATCAGTTGGGGATTCCCTCCCTCTGGGGCACCTGGCACTGGCCACTGTGGGCAGACAGGATCCTGGGCTGGATGGGCCATTGGTCTGACCCAGCCTGGCCGCTCTTACGTTCCAATGTTCAGGACCGTCAATCACCTTGCTCCTCCGCTGGAGGGGACGTCCCTCCTGTCTCCCTGCCCTGGGGAGCGTGGGGAGGAGGCCGGCAGAGCCCTGCCTTGAGGAAGTGGGAGCCTGTGACTAGCAGGCCCAGTGAGCCGGGGGCCGGAGCTCAGAGCCTGGACAGGCAGGAGCTCCAGAGCAGGAGGAAGGGGCGTGGGCCAGGACGGTCTGTGCAGATCCCCCCTGCCCTGAGCCCACCTCCCCTCGCCGCAGGCCTGATCGAGACCTCCAAGCTGACGGAGTGCCTGGCGAAGGCCGTCAACAGCCTGCAGGAGGAGCTGACGCAGGAGAAGCACCAGAAGGCGTCGCTGCTGGACCACTGCAGGCGCAGAACGCGTGTCTGCGGCGCGGGGAGGCCGAGCACGGCCGCATGCGGCGGGAGCTCAGCGCCCACTTCCACGAGGTGCTGAAGCTGAAGGACGAGATGTACAACCTGTCCCTGCGCTACACCAACGCCCTGCAGGAGAAGGATCTGGCCATCACGCGCAGCCAGGGCCTGCAGGAGGAGGTGAGCGCAGGGGCGGCCTCGGGGACCCAGCCCTGCAAGGCCCCCGTAGCCCTCCACCCTGCTCCAGGCGGGTTGCAGGGCCTGACACCAGCGGCATGCCCCTATCGAATCGGAGGGCCCCTCGGTCACAGCAGGAGCTAGGCTGCAATAGGTGGCTCCGAGTTGCTTTCCCTCCCTGCCTCACCCTTCCGTAGCCCGGCCTGCGTCCGAGAGAGGAGACGGCAGTGGAGCCTGATGGGCGTCGGGCTGCGCTCTGGCGCTAGCGATCTCGTCTGGTATGGAGCTAAGACCCTGGGTTCTAGAGCACGTGGCGCGTCACGCTCGGTCACAGCAGGAGCTAGGCTGCAATAGGTGGCTCCGAGTTGCTTTCCCTCCCTGCCTCACCCTTCCGTAGCCCGGCCTGCGTCCGAGAGAGGAGACGGCAGTGGAGCCTGATGGGCGTCGGGCTGCGCTCTGGCGCTAGCGATCTCGTCTGGTATGGAGCTAAGACCCTGGGTTCTAGAGCACGTGGCGCGTCACGCTCTAGAACACCTGCCCCGTGCTCCGCCCTCGTGGCTGGGGGTCGGTTCTAGAGCAGAACGGACCCGCCTGCTCGGCTCGGTGG